TATATATATATATATATATATGTTATAAATATATATTCGTAGAAATAATTGTTTCTTTCTCGGTTTTAAGGCTTCGTTGATCAGGAAGTATGCAGAGCAAAGTGAGACATTAGAGAGTTTGACAGAGCAAGTAAATCAAATGGAAGAAAATATTACTTTAATTTATAATAGAGTAAGTAAATTACACGAAAAATTTTTCAGATTTAATTACGGTCAAAAGGTTTCTCCTGACTGCAGAACTCGCGAAATAATCCCTTTTTCAGAAAAATTTTATATCTTAATTTTTGCAACAATATTTATTTAATTACAATGATTTTACTGTAAAAACACCTCAATGTTCACTTAAAATAATTGTCTGCAAATATTTATTGTGTCTAAATACAAATGCATGACTTGACACCCATTTGTAAAAAAATATATTTTAAAGAAATGAAAACGATAGATTAAAAGGGGAAGTTTGTAACGATATTTAATAATTACCATTATATTTTCTAGTCTCCTCAATTCGCAATGATTAACAGGACATGTTTTTTGATTCCCTATTTCGGATAAGTCTTAGGGTATATGTGTTTAACCTAGACGAATCAAGTTTAGTTCAACTAGAAAAGCAACTAAAAATTGTCGTAGTAAAGATGGCTTGATAAATAAATGTTTAAATGAAAAATAGTTAAAAATAAGTAATAAGCTCCAAGAAAAAAAACGGACCACACACTGAATAACTTATAATTTAACTATTGGAACTTCCCATTATAGGGGGAAGACCTCAAATATGTTAATTACTTAGTGCAGACACTATTTAAAGTTATGTAATCGACACAAAAACGTATTTTCTCAAAATAGATATTCTTTTCCAACAGATTCGGATTTCGGACCCTCAAAATATTAAGTGTAACTTTGTAAATGCAGTTTCTACCACTTTATACACTTTTAGGCAAATGTGGCATCTATACATGAGTATTAAGCCGGTCAGGTGACCGAGCGGTCAGCGCGCCTGACTATGAAGCCAATGGTTGCGGGTTCGAATCCCGCTCAGGGAATGAATATTTATCTCTGTGTGTGATCGCTATTGTGTGATGCGTAAATGTGGCCCACCCTATAAACGGGTATGTGGCAGTGTGGCGTGGGTAATGTTGCTCGCCTCCGTGACTTAGGTTCACAGGTGCCCACTGGGTAACGTTAAATGAGTAACACCTCCGGCATCTTCCTAGGCGAAGAACGAAAGTTCAGTGCCAGCCGTCAAAAAATAAAAAATAATAATATGAGTATTAAACAAGACATTGGCAATCTTTGAAATAATTTTAATTTATATTTAAAGTGGTAGTAAAATTTATGCCTTCCAAGTTATTTCGTGGATTTATTAGTAAAATTTAGAATAATTTTAAAACCTGTGCTCGTAAATAGACTAAACATATATTAACCCCTTAACGATCGGTTAATTTTTAAGAAAACGGTCATAAAAGTGCCTATTTTTTTGGCTTTTGTATTTGCATTACATATTTGATTAGTGCTGACATCTAGTTTAAAATAAACTAACTATCTACAATTACCTTAAAAGTATCCTGGTACTGCCATCTGGTGTGTGAAATGAGAAATAAAATGTTTTCCTGCCCAAAGAAATTAATTAGTTTTATTCCTATTGGCGCGTTGCTACTGAACACTCCAGCCCGTCAATATGACGGGAGCGAGAAATAGAGGGCGAAACCTCACCCCGTCATTTTCACGGGAGCGAGAAGGAAGGGGTTAAAGCAAGATATTGCTGCGATGTAATTCAAATTTCAATACACTACTACTTCGTAAAATTATCCTCAGAAAGACTAATATTCGGGAGGTATGAAACAATGTTTTTTTACAAATAATATAAAAAAAATTCATGAAAATTTTAACATTTTAAATCTTATAAGTCTTGTTTACAGCTTTTTAACTTGATCTATGTCAACCGTATAATATTTTGACAGTCAATTATTATCAATAAAATAAATAACTAATTAAAAAAGTTTTGCTTTTAATAGGTTAATAAGTTCTTGGGTTCCGGTTCTGACAGAATATCGAACAGAGCTTTGCGTAGAGCCATGGCGAAGGTATTTACTTAATGTATTATTATATTATAAAACTACTATTTCAATTTATTTCTTCATTTATTTATTTATTGATTTATTTTTACTAGAAGTAATTTGTGTTAGACGAGAAAATTCTTTTTAAATATTTAGTCAAGTTTATTCGATTATATAAAAGTTGTGGTAAATTTAATATAATGTGATAAATTTAATGACTGTAAAATGAAATTCGCGATATACATTTTTTAATGAAATAGACTTTCGTGAATGTAAATTAATAGCTAATGTGTGTTTAACTCTTCTTTACTGTAAATAAAAGTAAGAGATAAACAAACAACTTTTGTGCATTGTAAGTAAGTGTATGTAAACTCAATTAAACATTTTTATTTTTGAATAAAAGAAATAATTACTTCCCAGATTAATTTTTTTTTAAAGATTTATTAGATAGCATTCAGATGAAGTTTCATGCGATGAACTTCAGATGAAGTTTCATGCAAATTTATGCGTCTATAAAAACTTATAGTTGAAAGAATTATAAATAATTATTTGCTCTTAACCCTTTTGAAGGCCGTGGTAAGTATAATTACCACCACGTTTTACCACTTTTAATTTAGGTTTCCATTTTTCAATAAATTCAGCTTTCTTGAAGTGAGTTTGAATAAAATTGGTAATCATTTGTCACTTCTAAAAAACGTATAAAAGTTATAAAATACATAATTCCTTTTGAAGTTTGTAGCATTTAAGGAATTTATTTTATCAATAAAGAAAAATAAAGGACAGTAAGTTCCTAATAGGTCATGTTAAATATATTTACCACCAAAAAAATGGCATTTTTATAAGCTAAATGAGTTTTTTTTTCTTATTATCAATTACTGTTCTTAAAACAATTTCAATTCCAAAAATACTTTAATTTACCTTTACTAGAAATAAAGGGTCCGTTAAAGGGTTAATGTTTCTTTTTCTTAATTCTAGGTTGGAGTATTAACTGAAAAAGTAAACACACTAACTCAGGTAAGAGAGCAATTTTGTCAAAAAAATTATATTTTATTTGTGAATTTATATAGTGCTAAGAATCTAAAAAATAATTTTTAATTTAGTTATAAATGCAACTTCTTAAAAAATATTATATTAAACATTTGAAAATATTTAAAATACGATTTAATTACATTTTTTGTTAAAAATAATTTGGATGTATAGGAATAATAGGGGAAGAATAGAAAAAAAGTTAGAAATAATAAGAGGATACCAATAACTTTAATTTTAAACTAATGAAAGTTTTTAGAATTAAATGTCTATTATGCTTGTTAACTTCAACTTCTAGTGCTATTTTTGTAAATTTTTTGCAAGTGTTTGCCATTTTTAGTTAAAAATTGTACAAACAACAAAACCCATTTATGTATAATAAATATAATGGATGAAAGATGGGTCTTGGACACAACAAAGAAAATAATAGATTATTTTGATTAAATATATATATATAACTCTAATTAAAATAAAATAAATAAATCATGAGAAACTAAAAATATAGCAAAATGTAATTCCGTTCATGAAAATCACCTGCCAAATATTATAATAAAATATTTGGCAGGTCATAAAGTACCTGCCAAATAGTAAGAGAACAAAAGGGGAGACGGTTATGATTATTTATTTTAAATAATGATTTGATTCTAAATTCATTAATTAGTTCATTTCTATAATTGAATCAATCATTTAACTGAAAATAACATAATAGAACCCCTAGTTCAAACTAGTGTCAAACTAAATAAGCGAACCTATTTCGCATCACCTGATTCATGATACTGGTTTGAATTAACTCAATAATTAACAGATTTAACACTAAATATTCGAACAGCTGAAGTAAATAAGCACCAGAATGGATAAAGGATTTTTTTTTGAACTAGCTAATCGAAATTAAATAATTGATCAACAGATTTGAATGAAACCACTTGAAAAATTAACCAAGCCACTCGCTTGATTTTAATCATTCGAATAAACGTATTAGATTTAAGAATTCAAATTATCACTAAAATACTGATGAGATGCAATGATTGCAATGAATTACTAATTAGGGTTTAAGCCCTCATTTGAATTGTTTTTTATTTTATTTTGAAAAGGTCAACACTTATGCGTTATAAAAAATCAATCCTTATAAAAATAGAACGTTATAAAAAAATCTATCTATTATTGCTCCTATTAAATGATTTTAATGATTTACTAAACAAATTATTAAAATGCATCATAATTGATATGTAGTATATTCGCTTCTTATAATCTTCTTTATTTAGTTACTGACTCAAAATGAATGCATCAGCAATCCATGCCGTAACGGAGGAACTTGTGTGGACGCTTACAATGGCTTCATTTGTAATTGCCCGTCTAACTGGGAAGTAAGTAAAAATACTGACTGGGGAACTAATTCTTTATTGCATTTATTCAAGTGCTTGATCTTACATAATTCGGGTGTGTTGATTTCTGAACAGAAATCAATCTTATTTCGAAAGTTACAAATTTTTTCCAAAATGGCCTTTTTAATTTAGTTTAATTTTGGTTTAAATGTACAAGTTTATAACAATCGTATAGTCTTATATACATGCATATACATTTGTCTTCTCCTTTGAATAAAAAAATACTTGAAAAAGGAATATAGCTTTAACTTTTTGTATCATAAACTGAAATGTATTATCAATTTTTTCCTACCACTTCCTACGTAGCAGAGAAGTGGGAATACTAAACAGTCCTTTGAGTGAATTTTAAAAATAAAAAAATTCTGGCCGAAATCAGTGGTGAAAAATATTTGTGATCTTTTAAAACGTTTCATAAAAGGGGAAAAAATCGTGTGTTATTTAAATAATAATGGAATTTCAGATCGATTGTTACTGTAAACTGAACTTTTTTGTGAAGCATTTTTCCTTTCGACAGTGAAATAACAACTCCATTTTTAGTTATCAAAAGTAACTTTTCATATTTCTGCAGCACCTAAAATCGTTTTAAATGATAATCAAACTTCTTTTTTATAACCATGTAAGCTTAACTATACATGTTTAACCCTTTATAAAGCCATGGGAACGTATATTTGCCACCAACACCAATAATTATTATAACGGTGTTTTTACAGTAACTGTGGAACGAGATGCTGTACTGTAACCTCCACTCATTTGCATTTTTTGCAGCAGTAAATCATTACTTTTCTCAGGGGCGCTGCGATGGGAGGTCACCGTGTTCTCCCAATCATTTTGCTTACTTATTCGGCATATTTACGATAATTCCTTTTCTCTTATTTTATTTGAAAAAAACAAATGGAATAATGAACAACGCGTCTTTCTTTGTTTGTTTAAATTTCTATTTTATTTGGAGTAATTAAATTGTGTAGCTTCGAGGATTGGGAGCAATAAATAGCCGAGGGCGTAGCCTTCAGAGTAATTAAAATAAAATATTAAAAAAATATGATGATATGAAAAATTAGGGTATTAAAAATACTTATTAGAAAATAATGAGGATGAGGCTCTTTTAAAATCCCTTCGATGCTAAAAGAAGGAAAGGTAAAAATTAATTCAAACTGCGAATTGTGAATAGTAATTTTTAAGTAATCCTTTTTATTTCCTCTGTAGCAGTGGCAGCCCTGTACTACATACCAATTACAAATACCAATGCTACAACCACGAAAAAATTGATCGTCAAACTCAATATTTGCAGGGCTGCTTCGTTCGTTCGTTGTTGTAGAACTGGGCATCTGAGGCCTAAATGGCCCTTTTCTCATTCATCTTGAAATATCCCATGACGGGAACATACATAGGAAAGATGTGATGTAGGCTCGGAATAGAACCTGAAATGAGGTAAAAATGAAGAAAGGAATCATGTGAGGTGTAGCAGGCATGATGGTGGGGCTCCATATCTACATCTTTTGGGTTGGGAGCAAGGAGATGAGTAGAGCGACTATTTTCTCGTCATTCAACAGTTCCTGGAGTTCTTTGAGAATGTTCAGGAATCTAGCTACATTGCTGGGGGCATCTTGAGGTTTCCTCGTGAAGGTGCGCTGGTGTCTTTTCGGCCTAGCACCACAGCCCGTAAAGCAGGCCGGGTGATCGCCTTGGCAGTTTATGCACCTGGCAGGAAGGGAGAGAGGCTTCATACATTGGTAAGTGAAATGCGCTCCTGCGCATTTCATGCATGCTGGCTCATTTGAACATGATTTTTGAGTGTGTCCAAATTTTTGACATTTGTAACATTGTATGGCGTAACGCCCTCCATGAAATTTCTCTATTTGGACAGGATGAGATAGAAGAAACTTTGTGTTAATAAAGTCCCGATGTTCTGGGGAATCTTGCAGTATCACTAGAAAAAGGGGGAGGGGCTTGTATCCGTCACCACACCTCTTTCTCAGTTGCTCAATTTTGATGGGTTGTCGACCATTTTCGTCAATATCTCTCCGAAGATCATCGGTACGGTGGTCTACATTAAGTCCCCGCACGAGAAACTTAAGTTTTCTCGGGAGGAAAGTGGGTTTGGCCGGTGGAGATGGCTCCGTCGATTCAGGGTTAGAGTGAGTTGTCTCTGAAGTAGTTTCAGGGCAAGTTGTTGAAGGCTCCTGGGTATTGCCGGTGCTATGGCTTTTCTTCCTTTTCTTTTTCAGTCTTTTGGGAGAAGAAGCAGGGATATCAGGCTCCTTTTCTACGCGCCTGTCTGCCGTGAGCTCGATTTGAGTATTTTCCAGTTGTGGCTCACAGGAAGGAACTGTTACTGCAGACTCCGTAAGCGTTACTGTTTGTACTGTCTTTACAGTTTCTATGGACATGGTCGTTTCCACGGGTTCCACAGGACAAAAATCCTTCCTTTTCTTCCTTAAGGCGATAAGTTTATATTCCTCCATATATGGTGGTTTGCAATTTTCCTGCTGCCATTTGAGTTTCTTTTCTGATTGTTCAGAGATGCCAACTTGCTCCGGACAGCAAATATATACTTTAAAGTGGTAGTTTATCAATTGTGATTATTGGTTTAATAAATTCCATTTAGTGGATTTTTATCCACCATTATTTCTATATAATTCGTAGGCTTATATAATTCGCCATTTTATAGTAATTATGATATGCTATACCTTTTAAAAAGCAAGCAAAAATAGTCAAATATTTGCAAATTTTAATTTGCAGTTATTTACCATTTTTTTAATTATTTTGGCGTGTCCGGAGCAGTTGGCATCTCTGATTGTTCAATCATAATTTCAATTATATCATTTTCAGAAAATGGATCAAAGAAATTGTCGAAAAACTCACCGCGTTCCTTTTCTGTCTTAAGTAGGTTGAATTTCTCGTTGAGGTCGAGAGAACGCTGCACGGGTCATTCAGTCCGCCGCTTCCCTCCACGTGCACATCGCTGGAAAGACATAGTCACAGAGCTCGATCACAACGCCTTGAACGGTCACAACGTCTTGAATCTTTTCCCGCTCGATCGATGATGGTACAGCACCATTTGCAGGGCTGCAAATATTGAGTTTGATGATCAATTTTTGTAAAAATTCACTCTAGTGGTAGCTAAGTTTATGATTTAATGCATTATTTTAATACATTTCATCTGATTTTTCCCACTACTGCACTTAATGAATTTGAAGTTTATATGCAGCGCCACTTTATTGAATCCCTCTCATGATAAATTTTTAAAATGTTGGTAAAATTACCAGAAATTCTGAAAGTTTTTTTTTAATGTAAAAGCGTAGCAGTTACCAGGCCTGTATTTGTAAATAGATATTCGTAATATTCGATCATTGTTCGCAATCGCTTAACCAACGCCTCCTATAACTGAAAGCCACCACATGGTTTTTTACAGGTAGTCCGATCAGACCATTGTGATGGATATCCACTTACCGAACGAGTCATTTAATACAGAATATAGAAAAAATAAGGAAGTGGTAGCAAATATATGATTAAAAATTTATTTTATTTATGAATATTATTGGTTTGCCTTATTTACTTGTCAACCACTACAGATTCAATTCTCAAATATATAAGATAAATTTCTCTCAATTACTTTTATGAAAGGTTTTGGGTTCATGCGCACAACTGGTTCACTTTTTAAACAGTCTGCGCGGACTATTTATAAAAGACCGTGTGGAGGCTTAACCCAGCGAAATTAAAGTCGAGTTACGGATGTATGCGTATGAATGTAGCCATTGACTTCCCATTTGATAATCTTACGCATAACATTATGATATTTTCAGATAAGTAAGCACATGGATTTCACAGATAGGCTTCTAGAATTTAGTGGAACACTGAAGGAAATATTTTATTTATATGAAATACAGAATAATCACCGTTTCTCAACTTACAAAATCGTATGCCATTCAAGGTTAGTTAACTTTAATGAAAGACAGGTTTTTCAAAAGTTCGCCATAAGTGGCAGTAAATCCTGTTCCATGAATTGTACTTCTTGTTTTAATAAATTTAACATAAATCGTACTTATCATAAAACATTTATCATTATAGTTTAATAAGTTTCTCATAAAACTCATCGAAACTGCGCATCACTCTTGAAATTCTTAAACTCAATTGCATTTACAGAAATCTGTCTGCTACCCGATGAAAGCTATGTAAACTGAACTGATCGAAAAAAATTTCATTCACTTTAACGATTAATTTATTACCATTTCTACATTTTGGGAGGACCACTATCAGATCTGGAAATAAGGTCGTACTTGAGCCGGGGGAGAAAATGTCCTTTCAGAGCACAATGAGTGTTTCTATGGTACTTTCCCAGAGAAAAAATAACAATAATTTTAATTTTATAAGGCTCAAGATTTAAAATTCAATGAAAATACATATTTGCAATAATAAATACAAACATTATATTTAAAGTGTATTGTATTTTTTTCAGGGTGTAACTTGCGAAACTGACGTCAACGAATGTGCTGTTTTTGCTGGGACAAGTTTTGGTTGTCAAAACGGTGCTACCTGCATCAATTCACACGGTGGTTATAGGTATTCTTAAGCAATTTTAATACTAAATGCAAATGCGCCGTTCATCTAGAAAAAAAACTGGTAGTGAGAATACTCGATTTCTATTTTTTAATCCGTAGCAATGACGTGTCTACTATTTAGATTGACAAATATATACGTAATATTTATTGACATATATAACGTATACATGCCTAAAAAAACTTCACAAGTAAATATGTTTGTTATATTGCAAAGAAAAAGTTGTAGTCGTTGTCTTCTTTTTACCTCATAAAATAGAAATGGTATTTTAATATTACTTTTTTTTTGTAATTAACTTTTATAAATATAGCTTGACTTGACTTGATAGGAGTTTTGCTGAAGCACCTGTCAGCGGCAGTGGGCACCCGACTTCTTCATCTGAGATGTGCTAACTGGCAACTTAGACTATTGGCATAGAATTAAAGGGAAAATTGATGACTGGGTAGTTCTGCTTAGGCAGTTCATATAGGGTGGGATAGAATTTTAGGAGCTTGATCTAACTAAAAATTTAAGCAATATGTGTTTAGATGATTAACAATATTGTATACTAAGTTGGGGGGACAATTAGGTAAATATCTAGGGGTGGTATATTCCCAAGTTGAGAATCACCGTTGTTCATTTCCTCTCCTCGGGAGTATCCATATATGAGATAGGGGGAGGGGGTATCTAATATTTATAATTTGTAGTAATCTGATAGTATCCCGCCAGAGAGCAGAAAGTGTATAATAGGATTATGCATTCTTGCGTCCTGTAGTAGTTCTTTATTTAATATAAGATTGAAATCTGCAGTAATGCTAATAAAGCTAGCACTTAGTTTAGCAATGAATTCATTTATTGTATCAATATTTAAGTCTCTTCTAATATATTTATTTGGCAGATGCCAAGGGGCACCAGCTGTTCTGCGAAGAAACTTAATTCGTATGTACTCAAAGCTTCTGAGGAAAGGAATTCATGTATTCTATCAGAAATCTTTTTAAGTGGTAGTAAATTGATAATAGTAAAACTCAAGATCCGGTATTTATTCTTAATGTTTGAATTATTTATTTGTAACGATGGAAAATTTATTCTGACATAAATTTATAAATCTAAGAATGAAATAGAACAGTTTGAACTTTCCGATCACTTCAAATATCAAATTTGGAAGAATTAGCAGATCAAACCAGTGATCAAACTGTGATAATACTGAGATCAAACCAGTGAAACACGTTAAATACCTCGGCGTCACGATCTCATATAATTTGAGCTGGAGTACTCACATAAACGACATATTCAAAAGAGGAGGAGCGTTTTTTGCGCTCAAAGTCCTCCTGCATAAGAATTCAAAGCTTGATCCAGCAAATAAAAGAACTATCTATATACAAGCGATTCGACCAATTCTTACGTATGCTTGCCCAGCCCTCACTACTATAAGCAACAACCTAAAAAGGAAGCTATTTACAACCGAAGGTAAATTTTTACGCACAATGACTGGCGCCCCAAGGGCGATTAGCAATAGATTACTCAGAAAAGACTTAAACATTGATGATATCAATTGCTTTATAGCTAAATTGACCACAACATTTTACAGCGACGCAAAAACATGCACCACATCAGATTTCAATAAATTGTTCGATATTGATATAATCCGTGATAATTCGAATTTCAGCCCAATTACCGCCTTTTTATGCTCAGACTGCATACTATCAAAATACTATTAACTTTATCATACAACTCTACTCAAGGGGATCTCCCCATTCCAAAGATGATTTTCCCTTCAAAACTAAAGATTTACTTCTTTAAGGATTTAGATTTGTTGGTACAACATACTACAACTTCAAAGATATATAGGACCTCCCAGAATACAACAAAACAGAATCGATGAATCGGTTAGTGGCGCTTCGCGCCAAACGCCGAGATATCCCCAATATTCAGCATCCAGCATCCAAGTACTTATTACATGCTCATACCCTCCAACTTATGAGGATTTTGAAAATAATTCTTTCTAGTGGTAGCGAACCAAAGTAGAAATTTTTAAAGCAAATGGATCTCTCATAAAACTTTTATCAGAACTTAAGAATCTAGCCATATGGCCTGCACTTTTATAAGTAATAGTGGAAAAGTTACGCTAAAATTAATTTTTTTAAAATATTAAGACATTAAGTTTGCTACCGTCTGAAAAGAAGATTTCTGAAACTACGGAAATTCCGTAGCAGTTGGGGTATGCATGTTTTAACGCAAGCAAATATTGTCAACTCAGAGATGCCAACTTGCTCCGGACGGCAAATATACATTTTAAAGTGGTAGTTAAACAATTGAGATTCTTGGTTTAATAAATTCAATTTAGTAGACTTTTATCCACCACTATTTCTAACTAATTCGCAGGCTTATATAATTAACCACTTTATAGAACTTAAGTCATGCAATGCCTTAAGTTCTATTTTTTCTTGATTTTTCTTGATTTTTAAAAAATCAAGAAAAAATAGTCAAATATTTGCAGAATTTACTTTAAAGTTATTTACTGTTTTTTCAATTATTTTGGCGCGTCTGGAGCAGTTGGCATCTCTGTCAACTATTTGCAAAATTTGCTTCGTAGTTATTTACTGTGTTTTAAATTAATTTGGCGTGTCCAGAGCAGTTAGCATCTCTTTAATAACATAACTAATACTAACATAACGTGAATTTGTTTGCTCCAATATTGCTTGATAGGTCAGCTCTGATAGTATAGGAGCCTTAGGACCACCCTATGAGCGAGTATGTGTGGCAGTGTTGCGTGGGTAATATTGCTTGCTTTCGTGACTTTGGTTACATGGTGCTCACCAGACAACGTAGAATGAGCAACACTTCCGTCACCTTTCATGGCTAAGAACGATAAGTCCAGTGTCAGACGTTAAAAAAATAGCGAAATAAGTGAACCAGTTTTTGCATCAGTCTCGTACTAATCGTTTTTTTAAATTTATTTATTTATTTATTATTATTTTTTTTTGTTTAGTTGCGTGTGCCCACCCAACTTCCATGGTATCGATTGTACTGAAAAGCATGATGATTGCGGAAGCGCTTCCCATTACGAACTCTGTGGTCATGGAACGTGCGTCGACGAAAAACGTATTCAACCTGGACAGGTAAAAATATAAGGTTTATATTATTTAGCTTTAGGTTCGTATTCACTATTAGGTGTTTACCTTTAATGGACAGATTCTTCTTCTTTCTGATAATTTAGGAAAAGCTGCAAACTTGCACGGTCGGTAGAAAAGAGTTTACTAAGTAGTGGTAAACTAATAAATAAAGTAGTTTTATAGAGACGTTTAAGTTTTTAAATTTGCATGTTGGGTATAACACATTTAGTAAACTTAAAAAACCAGGGTTGATATTTTATTTCCTATTATACTAGCTATAAACCCGTTCAACGATTGGGGTAATAGAAAAAGCAACACTGCGTAATCTGGCTCAAAACTGACAGACATAAACCGATATAATCAATAAAGTTAAAATAATGCCGTTTTTATGATTTCATTTGTTTCTAGTCCTGTTGACTTCACGTTATTAGGTAAAACAAAATACGCTTTAAGAAAATCATTTTATCAAGATGAAAATTAACTGTTCTCATTATCTTTCGGTGGTAATAATCACAGAAATGTCAACTGCTCCGTTTTCTGCAAAAGTTCGATTACTTTGGTAAAATTTAATAATTTTGTAACAAATTGGATTTAATAAATTGGTAATTGATTAAACATCAAATCTTGTAGAATAATAATAACTATGCCTAATTTTTAAACTTGTCACCTTGTGATCACTGCAGTAAATTTGCCTTTGACTTGAAGTATGATTGCCACTAATTTCTTTTTTTCTTTATTGATGTACCCCCGGCATGTTTGCTCCCTGATATGGAGAGAAAGCTGATAAAACTACTTCATATCTTGCTTTGTTTTTGGATGAAATTAAGAATCCAAGGTTACCAAAACTTATTAAAAGTTATAACAATATTGTTTCCTTAAGTAAAAAATTACTGTTAATTCAGTGACGCAGATGGGACCAGTGTCCTTTCAATTTTTTTTCAGGCGCTCTAATTACAAGCAAAAATATATTCTAATATTTTTAATTATAAAGAACAGTTTAATAGTTAATAAAATATTAGTTAGATTACCGGATTTATATTTATACTAAAATATAAAATCCCAAAAATGTAGTCTGAATTTTTTTCATTCATATTCAAAATTTTATCAATGCTTGTTTTTATAAATTAAAGAAACTTCAATGACGATTGACTGTTTTTCTTCAATCTAAATAAGTGCAAATTTAAGAAACTAATTGCATGCTAATGAACCATCTATGTAAGATTTTACCTTTAACACAAAAAAAGTCATCGATGATACATGAGATATTTCATTACGAAAAATTCTTAACAATTCAAAATATAAAGCTTTTTACTTATTTTGGCCGAAGTTAATGCAATATAATAAAATCAAAAAGCAAATGAAATCTGTTTAATAAAAATTCTGGTACTTATTTTGGTATTAAAGTCACGGTAATCAGGGTCATTTATTTCTGTAGAATAAGCAAGTAATGAACTGGTTTTGTTACCAGGTTTTTTTCTATGTGGGGATAAAAATAGCTCAGACATGCCAACTTGCTCCGAACAGCAAATATATATTTTAAAGTGGTAGTTTATCAATTGTGATTCTTAGTTGAATAAATTCAATTTAGTAGATTTTTATCCACCACCATTTCTAAATAATTCGTAGGCTTATATAATTCATCACTTTTTAGAACATTATTATGCCATATCTTTTAAAAAGCAAGCAAGAATAGTCAAAAATTTGCAAAATTTACTTTGCAGTTAATTACCGTTTTTTAATTATTTTGGCTTGCCCGTTGGCATCTCTGATAGCATAATTTTTATATAAACGTTTACGAGCTTGCATGGATGAAAGCCCTTATATAGCAAGACGGAAAAGAGAAAAAACTGGTACATACAACTGCATTTCTTTCGAAAAAAAATAAAATATCTGTAACTACCAAGATTTATTTTATGATACTATCATATATATAAAACTGCTTATTTTCCGAGATAAAGTAGAAATTAATGAATAGTTTTAAAAACAAATAAGTTAATTCCTCCCAAAAACCAGTTATAACTGAAAAGGTTTTACTACCAGCCTTTCCTTTTTTCCGTCTCGCTTTCACCCCTGCGAGCTTGTTTAACCCCTTGGGGACGGGTGATTCAGAAAAGCGTTCGTACAAAATCAGAATGTAGTTGTAGTTAAATAAAAAACGGTAACTTAGATGTAGTCGTTACTAATTTGACAGACTTACTTTGTTTTTACTTTAATTATTGTTAGCTTAATCATATATATAATCAATGATAATTCAAAGTATAACTAAATAGTTTTATTTTGAACAAAGTAATGGTGAATTAAATAAATCAAACAATTATAACTCC